GATTGATTGATTGATTGATTGATTGATTGATTGATTGATTGATTGATTGATTGATTGACTGATATGAACAAACTTTATGGCCCTGATTTAGCTGGCAGCTGCATCTCTAGCATCTTTCTACTGTTCCTCCTCTGGACAGGTCCAAACCATCAGTTTGTTCTCTAACTTTATCTCCCAGTGGTTCCGCCTGTGCTGTACCTCTGATGATCTCATTCCTCATCTTATCCATCTTTGTCACTCCCAAGGAGAACCTCAACATTTTCAGCTCTGACATTTCCAGTTCTGTCACCTGTCTTTTTATCAAACCATACAACATAGATGACCTCACTCTCTCAAACCTTTCCTTTGAGCTTTGCTGCCATCAATCACTCCTGAAGGTTGTCTCAATCCACTCCATCCTGCCTGGACTCTCTTTACCATATTCCTGGACAGTCGACCGTAATTACCTGAAGTTCTGCGCTTTTGTGATCTCTTCTTAGCCTCACCCATTCACACGTTTGTGTAGTAGATCCATAAATTATTTTAAAAAAAGGGCAAAAAAGCCCATACAGGAGCCAATCTCTCACAGCTTCCAAGACAAATCCTTCTCCCACTCAGACTGCATGGATGAACACCATGATTCATTTCTTCAACATGTTAAGCCAGATCAGTTCATGGAAGGTGGCTTGAATAAATTTGTTAAAACATCAACTCTAAAATCCAAACATATAAATTCAGTGTTTTAACAAGTTCACTGCTCATTTATTAACTACATATTATGAAAAAAAAAAGTAGCATTTCTTTATATGGAGTGTATTTTCCTTCATTATGCACTTAAAGTTTTAAATAAAAAGCTCACCTGATTTCACAACAAATATTTTATGTTAAAAGTTTGTCATTACCTCACGTGTAGCATGTCTTTACTTTTGTTCATTAGATTTTTCAGAGGATCTATACTTGGTAATCAAATTTTTTCACACTCATGTTCAATTTGTGCTCTGTAATTTCCCTTCATGGGATCAAAACGTATCTATCTATCTATCTATCTATCTATCTATCTATCTATCTATCTATCTATCTATCTATCTATCTATCTATCTATCTATCTATCTATCTAT